ACAAAAATAGATGACTCTATAATAAGTAGAGGTGAGGGGGCTATTGTAAAAATTCAGGGGTCAAAATGAAGAATGAAGGCATGAGAAAAGAAAGGAAGAGACAAAAGTGAGAAAATATTAAAGGAAAAATTAAGAGAACTTTGAGGCCAGCTGAATAACAAGAGCAATGACTCGCTCTTGATGAACTTCAATGACTGTAAGAATTCCAGTGCCACTGACAGAAATTGGAAAGTGGAGAGATGAAGGTGGTCTGAGACACTGATGAGCCAAATTTCAACAGGCACAACCAGGAAATGTGGCATATTTCTAGGTAGTAGAAGGAGGCATTTTTCCACACTTTAAAAAAAAAAAATAGCATTTTGTATAGCTCTTGAAATTTGAAGCAAAGTATTTAAATTTCTTCTTAAGTTTGGTTTAAAATATATATATATATATTTTAATTGCAAGGTCTATATTAAATGCTATAGTTATATCATAACATATAGTTCTATTAAGGAAGAAGGACTAGAGAGAAAATCTGTAATCTGGTCCCTCACGTTCCAACTCATTGCATATTTTTGGACCAGAACTTAACCAGAACTTACAATACTTGAATCCTCAGATCTTTAAAAGAAGCAGGTTAGCCCAAATACCCTAGGAGCCTCAACCTCTGAGAGTATTGTGAAGGACAGCATTACCATGTATATTATTAATCTGTGCCTTTGATACAAATATTATTATTCATTTGAAAGGGGTAAACATACACTGATAATGAAAATATATAAATTTTTTTTTTCATTTATTTTTATTAGTTGGAGGCTAATTACTTTACATCATTGCAGTGGTTTTTGTCATACAGTGAAATGAATTAGCCATGGATTTACATGTATTCCCCATCCCGGTCCCCCCTCCCACCTCCCTCTCCACCCGATCCCTCTGGGTCTTCCCAGTGCACCAGGCCCGAGCACTTGTCTCATGCACCCAACCTGGGCTGGTGATCTGTTTCACCCTAGATAATATACGTGTTTCGATGCTGTTCTCTTGAAACATCCCACCCTCGCCTTCTCCCAGAGTCCACAAGTCTGTTCTATACATTGAGTCCCAGTAAAGAACTAAATATATTACAGTAGACGTTTACAAGTGTTTTAAAATATGTGGATATTTATATTAAAGAAGGGTCAAAGGCTTAATCAAGAAGTAAAATCTTAATGATGAATGTAAGGTAAATGACAGTAAGTGTCCAATACCTAAGTAGGGTAGTAGGGATCTAAAATCACCTTTACAAAGTGAAATCAGTAAATTTGATTAGTTTGATTAGTGAGGCTGGCTGGGTTAAGGTATATGTGGATTGACAGAATTTTTTTTTTTTCTGTTTTTTTAACAGTTTCTATGGTGGGTCACTGCAAGCGAATGAAATAATTGTTATGCAAATAGTTGGTCTCACAAGTTATGGCTACCTTCTTGCCACACCTAAAAACGAGACCTTAAACTTGGAACAAATGAAAAAACATAATCATCCAAGGATAATTTGAAAGTATAAAAGTATTTAAGAACTAAGATTAACAAAATCTCAAACCACACTCTACCTATGAGATTTCTAAATCAACTCAAACTTTTGGAGACTCCTCGGAGAAGGCAATGGCAACCCACTCCAGTACTCTTGCCTGGAAAATCCCATGGACGGAGGGGCCTGGTGGGCTGCAGTCCATGGGGTCGTGAACAGTCTGAGACGACTGAGCAACTTCACTTTCACTTTTCACTTTCATGCATTGGAGAAGGAAATGGCAACCCACTCCAGTGCTCTTGCCTGGAGAATCCCAGGGACAGAGGAGTCTGGTGGGCTGCCATCTATGGGGTCGCACTGAGTCGGACACGACTGAAGCGACTTAGCAGCAGCAGCAGGAAATTCTGAAGACCATATTTTTGGGACAAAAATCCACAATAAAGAAAAATGGGTGTTTCCAGGTGCTGGGGGGAGGGAGGTAGTGGAATTAGGAAATGGATATAGTTTCAGTTGAGGAAGATGAAAGAGTTTGGAAGATGGAAGGTGGTGATGGTTGCACAACAATGTGAAGATACTTCATGCCATTCACTCAGCAGTAATTAAAAATGTTTAGAAAGATAACTTTCTTGTTATATGTATGTTTTACCACAATAAAAAATATAAATAAAAATATCTTAGAAAAAAATGCTTCCGGATAGCACCTTTTATCACCGAGGACCTGGGTTAACACCTGTTCCTCTCACTGTGGCTAGTAGAGGCTGCTTTGACAGTTGCATGAAAAGATTTTAATTTATAAAACACCAAAGCATCTCTAACAGCTTAATGCAGCTAGATATCATAAATATAATGTCTATGTCATATACAAGACAGCTTTAAGATGCAGTTTTATAGTCTTGTCCCTAAACATTTCCAATTTACCTAATTTGAAGTGTGACAGTTCAATACACTAATAATGTAATATATATAATAATATTACCTATTCACATATATAATAACAAGCTAAATGTCTGGATAACAAAGTTAGTAAATGATCATTTGATTGACAGAATTAATTTACAAGCAACGTACACCTAGAAGCCATCTAACCTGCATTTTTTCCTCTCTCAATTTAAGTGTCCCAGGTTCATTTAAGTCACATATTGGTCTCCTTTCTGAAAATAACTGTCCTCCTGCTTTCTACTTACTCAAACTTTACCTATTCTTCAGAACTCAGATAAAGGTAAGTATCTTAAAAAGCATTTCCTGGCTATCTCAGCCCCCTTTGATCTTCCTAACCTTTAGACTTAATGTAATCATATAGTGCTTAGAAACAGACTGCCTTGTATTATTTGTTATCATTTTGTGTTTTAGAGCCAACTAAAATGTACTGAAAATTTGATGATTATTCTAGTCTCTCAGAGACAGCCCAAAATACTGATCCAAAGTAAATTGACAAAAACCAAGTTGTGAACCTATTTATTCTCTGTAAACTCTAGTGCAGCTCAATACAAACAGGACTTCAAACTTGCTGTTGATTAGGACTATTTAATCAGTTAATTCTAAAAACTGGCTTCTGGAAGACTGAGAGGAAAACTTCCCTCTCTCTGGCCCCCAATGAGCGAGCACACAGAATAGCACACACATACTCAACCATATATAATGGAGCACAATTTGCACAGCAGTAGAACTCCATGGAAAGAAACCCTGGAAACTAAAGCAATAACATTTTTTGCACACCCAATATGTACAAAGAACTTTGTTAAGCCCTATGAATAAGGAATTCACACATCTATAGTCATCTTTAACCCATATTTAGAGACTATTACATTGTGGTTAGGGCATGCTCTGGGCACTGGACTGCAGGCTTAATTTGGGAATTTTCCTCTGGGATCAGACACAAAACCAAGCTGAGAAAAAAATGCAAGAGGAGGTGGAGGGTAGTTGCCTTCCCTCTGCAATAAAGAACCTGTATTTCAACAATCTGAAGAAGTTTACTTATTGTAGTTAAAGTTACATTTTTCTTTGAGTTCAAATTCTTTCTATTACTATATAAGATTTATTGAAATTATATTGTTTAGGCAGGAACAAGAAAGCTGAATATTATTTCAGGTTTTCAAGTCATAAGGGAAAATAGTGCCTTTAGGTTTTCCATTCAACTAGGAAAATTATAGCTTCATATTTGCAACACTAAAGCTTAATGCAATGTCAGCAGCTCCATCAGACTCTGTTGTTCAGCAGTTTATAATTCAAGCAGAAATGTTCTCTCCAAGCCCAAACTTGGCCTACACAATTTCAAAGAAAATGGAGAAAAAATTATTTTGGCTAGTACTGAATTATAAAAGCAAAAGAGAGGGTGCTTTTATAGAGTATTTTTAAAAACATCTTTGAGAATTTGAGAACGTAACTGGGAATTACTGAGTTGACATCCTTCATTCCTAAGGTTATAGAAATAACCCTCAATTCCATGACATCATGTCAGAATCGGCAATATCCTAATTTCACAAAATTCTTCATCTGGTGGAATTTCATATCAGACAGGATCACTGTTCACAGGGAAAAACTAGAATAGTGGAAAATAAGGACAAATAGAAATCTCTCATGAGAGCATCTTGAAACTTCAGATGTATTTTTCCTTTAAGTACTCACTCTCTAGTGCAACGTATGCGCATAGAAAATGAAAAAAATTTTTCCAGTTTTTTAAGGTGCTTTTGGAATGGCAGCCCGGAATTCCCAGAATTCCTCCTTGCACACATTATCTTGGACTTAGAAACAACTTAGTGTGGAAGTGAATTTCTGGTAGCAGATGACAGGAGGTACTGGGCCGCCCAGCTCACTGGAGGTGGTGTGAGTAGGGTGGAGAACGGGCCAGCGGTGGATGGCAGGTGGGTTACAGATTACCTTTGTGTCATCCTAGGGATGAGCCTAGCAGTCAACCCCTCACTGATCTCTTAGACTACCTTCGAAATACATCAGAACGTCTGATATTGTGGCATTAGGGCGTTGCATAAGTCATCCATTCCCATCTGTAGAAGGCTTCTTTGTATTAAATACACGGATACCAAATGCATTGATACTCCATGTCTGTTTTCATACAGCTCTTACTGAAGTCTTACTATGTGCAGGCTACAAATGATTCAGCAGGATTTTTTCCTCAGGAGAAATGAAGAGCAAGTGAGTAGTTCATAAAGACAACTCCAGTACATGTGTGGAGTACCTTCTGGATGACTTCATTGAAAAGGATGGTGAGATGTCAGAACCTCTACCCGTCCCTCACTCCTCACTTTCATCCCCTCTTGAAATCGGAGTCCCCTTCCCTGTTCCCTCAATGCTCCCTGCGGCTGGGACCTGAGGATTTTTGTGAACAAAACCATCAGGCCTGGGAGAGCGGTACCAAGTACAATTTTCCGAGGGGGTTAGCGGTGATGTCTAGAAGAGAAGGCCAGCCTGGCAGCGTCGCCTGGAGACTCTGGCTCAGGCTTCAGCACTGGCGTGGGGGTAGGGGGGTGGTCAGAGAGGATTTACGGGGTTCCGGGCATACCTGGTTGAATTGTGCAGCTATGAGCGAGGGTTCCCATATCTTAGAGCTGGTGGTGGTTGTCCCGCCTTTCTCTTTCTTGGGTGCCATGCAAAGAACGGGAGGAGCATTAGCCTCTAAACTGGCCTCAGGCCCGGGCTAAGCGTCCCCGCTGCCACAGTAACCGAAGCCACGCCCAGTTCCTGAAGGGATTGGCTCTCCTCTGCCAAACCGGTTCTAAACGCGCTGGTCAACCGCTTCCGTTGCCACGGTAACCGGCAACTTGTGGGCGGGACTCCAGTCCCCAAGGTTAAATCAGAAATTCCTAGCCGTAGAAATGAGCAAGTGGAGGAGGAAAGGATACAACGAGTGCTGGTCAAGCTACTTTCTTTTACTACCACCCTCTGCTTCTTCTTTAGAGCCTTCTCTGGTCCGACGCATTGTCTAGAAATTCAGAATCCCTGGATTCCCGTCCACGACTTCTTTACCAAGATTTCTTCCACTCTGGGAAACTTAGAATGAAGAACTGACTCCACTCAGAGGACAGCCCACTGTTTTCTCTTCCTCTCTAATCTGCCCACGATGCTTCTCTATATAAAGCCAAATTTATCTCCCACCTCCATCGCCTGCTTTGGTCTAGGTTCTGCCTCCCAAGGCCTTACTAAAACAGGTCCAATTACTCTTGCACAGGATTCTTGATATAACTGTAGTCAGGATTAGTGTCTATAAATTGTTTTCTCTTCCTGATTAGCCCAAGTTCTTTTACACTGTGCTCCACTAAGTAGAGTCTTTTTCCTCTTTCCCTCACATAGCACCAATATATAAAGGTATCCTGATCAGAGTTCCCAAAGTAATAATGATAGTTATCGTAATAATGTAACGACAACTCTTGTTTCTTGAGCACTGGTTATATGCTGTACATTGTTACATTATTTACTTAAAAACAACCTTGTTCCAAGTCTCACAGTGTATCACTGATGGCACTAGAATTAAAATCCAGGATTATATGAATCCCAATTCCAGTGTGCTTGAATTCTACACTACTATTACCACTGTTTCAGGCCTGCTAAAATGAGAGATGTCTCTCTTTTAGGGCTAGACTTATTTTTATTTAATTTTTATTACAATGGGACAAATTTGAGGACAACCAGGAGCAAAGTTCAGCCAAAGGTGTTTTGCTATCTCTTTAGTCTTTAGTCTTTTTCACTATATGAGGCAGTGCAACCAGTGCTTACCCATTCTCCCAGCCCTGCACTTGGCCTGGAGGTGAGGTGTTTCAATTATCCCAATGGGCCAGGGTAGCTAAGGTGATGCGCGTGACTTGAAGCTTAACTTCATTCAGCACAACCTGCAGATGATCCCTCATTGCAAGAAAGTGTTCTGACACTTTTTATTGCTCTTTTTGAGGAAGAAACTGTGTTTGAATGGGATAATGATACCTATTCACTACTGTCTTACTTCACCTGAGGTTTAAAGATGATGCTTCTTTTCAACTATTATTCATAATTTGGATCAATGAAAGGAAAGTTTCTCCTCCTACCTCACTTCTTTAAAACAGATATTAAAGAGAAAGTATAATTTATAGAAAGTCTTTTCACAGGAAATTTACCAAAAAAAAAAAAAATCCACTTTTCTTGTTGAAATATGAATGGTTTATCTTTTGGGAGAATAGATCCATGCAATCACAAATCACAACCTGAAACCCTTTCTTCTTGTCATAAGGATAAAATGTCTGATGTATAGTGATGCCAGAGGTATCATGCCAGAAAGGGATTTTCCTGAAGGTCTCCAGAGCAACTACCCAGGCTACCACTGACTCATAGAATTTTCTCCAAAATTTGATTCTTCACTAAAATTTTCTATATAAGATGAAAACTGTCTCTGGATTATGGCTTGAATATAAAGATTCAAGCTTTATATTAATATATAAACACTGTAATAAGCAAAAAAAAGTAATAACTGATTACATCATTCTGAATTTTGATCATAATTTTTCCTATAGGTTTTTACTGTTTGGGAAAAAAAGTCCTGTGTCTTTACTAGAAAAGCAGTTAAAAAAAAGTTTGTTGTCCTTCTAGTTATGTTTCATAAGAAAAAATTGACTAGATGTTTATATATGTCATACCATGTTACCAATTTTCTTTCTTCTTGAATGTGAATGCATATTTCAAAATAAAACATATTATGTACAATCAGTTCAGCCAAATCACTAGCAGATGATTAATAAAACAACTGCAGATAAGAAAGAAAAACAATGGAAAAAAATGGGATAGGGAGAAAAGAGTAAAATTAAGTGTTATTTTATAATCACAGAGAAAATGTCACTAGCTTTGTCTTACAACTTAAAGTTGTAAGTTACATCTTCCAAGGATTGTTCATTCTCTTCCCATATTTGCTTGTTTATTGGGGTGACACGGAAATCCTTGAATCTCTGAATGATTGCTGTGACACAAAGAGCCCCTTTTCCCTCAGTTTCACCTTGATTACTCCACCAAAGGCATTTGCTTGAGAATATTAAGCATATGATTAAGTGGATGAGAAATAGGCTTTTATTTTTTTAAGCTGCTGAAATGTTGTGGTTTGCTATAGCAACTAAAGTTACTGTAACTATTCCAGTGTTTTTAATAGTTTTCATTTGAGAATCAGCTTTTAGTAAATCTAACAGTAATCAGCCTTCAAAATGGCATGAGAAAACAGCCTTGTTACTTTCAAGTAGGCAGGGTGCAACCTGGCTACTGTGAACAGCACAAAGATCTAATTTGGACTGTTTGAGAGACTTCATTTAGTATTACCAGTGAGAGCTCACCCTTTGCCTGGACTTCCACCTGCTCATATAGCACATTCTTTCACTTATTCATCAAGTAAATACATTTCTTACTTTAAAATAGTCTGCACATTAAAGTGATACAATAGTCTAGTCTGCCCATGTCACATATACTTAGGAAAATATTTGCCATTTTTCAGAAGATGAACCAACAAGATCCATTGCTAGACATTTAAACACACTAATTGTAATTTAGCAAGTGTTTTCTTTTTTTAAACTGAACATTTTAAAATTCAAAAATAAAGATTTCAAGAAGGAAGAATGCACTTGCAATATAATTTTTAGTAGTTCCCTTTGTAATGTCCTACCAGAATAAATTTAAATATAGGTTTTCCAAAATTGATTTAGAGAATTAAAAATAAAGATTTTTATTACAAAGTGTTTTTTCCCTAGTTTTGGCCTATTTCATTATTCCAGAGAAAGTGGTACTCTAGATAATTTATGATACAAAAGGGGAAGACATTATACAGTAACCAAATTTATAGGGAGTTTCATCTTAGAATTGGTCTGTTTAATTTCAGAAAATAGGTGTGAATGACAATGTTCATAGTTTTAAGAAGCAAAAGCCTTTCAGCTAAAAGTGTACCCTGCCAAGAACAGAGAAAAAAAAAGCATTACCATCTGTCATACATTTATGCTCTTTTGGTATAATAAATTGTTTCCCCCACTAAATATAAGTTGAAACTTTATAAGCATATACTTTACTACATAAATTTTCCCATATGTCAGTGGCTAAAACAAAACTTTACTATTCAGAGAATTTTCTTTCACATTGGCAGAGTCACTCCTGGTTTGTTTTAGTTTTTCCAGTAAGATTTTGCATTTAATATTATTTAGCTCACCAAGGACTGTCTCCTTTAAGGGTTGCACAGTTTCTTTAGGACACTATGGTTACAAAAAAAGTATTTTTTTCAAGTTTTATGATTTGATCTTACAATAAGCTTAATGAATTCAGGTGTAAAGTCTAAGGCATGAAAGGGTCTAGCCAGCTATTGATGTGTCCAGTTTTCCCACTGTTACTGGGTAGCATCAGGAGCTATGGACAAATTCACCTCTAGGCCAAGATTCCAGGTATTCAAAGTACATTGAGATGCAGTAACTTGCTTGATTTTGGTTCAAAAGGCCTCACAGATGACCTCTGGTTTCTCAGATTGGCATCCTACATCTAAGAACACCTTTCACTATCTGGTTGTGCTATTTACCATCATGATCTTTCTGTTACTAATCTTCTAGATAGCATGTTATAACGCATTGTCCTGGAGTTTTTATTGTGTGTGATGCAGAGGGCTTGATCTCTTTCAGTGACAAGGTCCAAAACATATGGAGAATATTACACCTGCATTCAATGGTCAGCACTAGCTTCCTATTCCATCCTGAGTGCAATTTAAAGTGTTGACTTTAATCTTTAAAGCCCCTCATTGTTTAGAAGCCAGTTACTCCAGATATCACATCTCTCCTTATGCATCATCGTGGCAATTAAAATCAGCTGCAGGCTTGCAGTTCCTAATCCCTAGTGAATTGTGGGGAGCCTGGGAGTAGATCACTTTCTAAAGAAGAACTTCCCTAGGAACCCTTTTTCTGTCAGTGATAAAAGCAATATTCGAAGTTTACAATTTTGGCCTTGAATGTATTGTCATATAGCTGCACGCCTTTGGAAGCATAATGAAGTGCTTTTGATTTAATTTTTATGTTATTTTATATAATTTGTGGCCAAGAGTTGAGAATATCAATCTACGTTTTAATGAATCAGATAAATAACAGTTGTATATATTAAAAATAGAAAAAGCTAAAAATTCATCTGTTTCATATTTGTTAGTGTGGGAGTTTTCACTTGAATATTCTCTCACTCAAGTTTTTCTTTGAATCTAATTTTAAATGTCTTCAGTGAAGGGATTTGTGGTAAATCCTTTGGGGACAATTTCAAAACCCATAATTCATGGTAAGTCATTTCTCTAAATGCTTATCTAAATGTTTGATTTCTTAATGTTTTATCAGATGTCTGTTACTCATACACGTGCTCTATGTTAAAACTTTAAAAATTGTGTACAAAGTTCAGAGTTTATGGTTGATGGGAACCTATACCGACGTGTATTATGCCGATCAATGAGTAATCTTTTGGGGAAAAAGATGATTGGTCATAAGGTTATGAGGAGCTGTATTATATATGGTAGTGTAGACAAACAGTGGGCTTCCCTGGTGTATCAGACGGTAAAGAATCTGCCTGCAATGCAGCCGACTGACGTTCGATCCCTGGGTCAGGATGATTCCCTGGATAAGGGCATGGCTA